GAGAGGGGAAGCTGTAAGGAGAGGGGACAGGGACAGCCCTGGTGTAGCTGGGATGAGGTGAAGGTGTGTCTGTAGCCCCAGGAGTCCCGACGGGGCGCCCTCCTCATCAGGGGAGGATCATTGGGGTGAGGAGTGTTGGTGGGCTCAGGGCTCGAGGGAGCTGTGCCCCGGGAGATGCACCGAGTGAGTGGTAGGGGCGTCAGGAAGGTCCCTTGAGAGCCCCCAGCAGCAGGTTTGGGGGGTGGTGGTTGGGAGGGAGGATGAAGGACACCTGCCGGATCTGCGCGCGGGAGCTGTGCGGGAACCAGCGGCGATGGATCTTCCACACGGCGGCCAAGCTGAACCTGCAGGTGCTGCTCTCCCACGTGCTGGGCAGGGAGCTGTGCCGCGACGGCCGGTCCGAGTTCGCTTGCAGCAAGTGTGCCTTCATGCTGGACCGCATCTACAGGTTCGACACGGTCATCGCGCGCATCGAAGCCCTCTCCATCGAGCGCCTGCAGAAGCTGCTGCTGGAGAAGGACCGCCTCAAGTTCTGCATTGCAAGCATGTACCGCCGGAACAACGAAGACCCCAGCACCGACGACAGAGCTGGGGACGGGACTGTGGACCTTTCCAACCTCCCCGACGTGCGGTACGCTGCCCTCCTTCAGGAGGCCTTCGCGTATTCTGGGTACGAATACTGGGCCGACCAGGAGGAGCAGGGCTGGGAGCCGCACAGCTGCCACGCTGCCGAGGGAACCAGCAGCCGTCCCCGCCGCTGCCGGGGCTGTGCCGCCCTGCGGGTGGCTGACGCTGACTACGAAGCTATTTGCAAGGTGCCACGGAAAGTGGCCAGAAGCATCTCCCGCGGGCTGTCCAGCCGCTGGGCGACCAGCATGGGCAATGAGGAGGGATCCGCGTGCGACGCGGCAGAGTCTGCGGGGGCCAGAGGGCCTGTGGATGGGGAGAGCATGGAGGAAGGCACCACGCCCGTGTCCTCTGTCGAGTCCCTGGACACGACCGTGGAGGTGAGCCCTCCCCAGCAGAAGGATGAAGATGCAGAGAAGGGGGTGAAAGGGCTTGGAAGATGTGATGATTTCTCGGATGACCGCATGACCCCAATCTCTTCGCTGAGTGGGAACAGGCTGGAGCTGGCCCTCAGCTTGATCAAGGCTTTGGACTACAAACCCCTCCAGAGCCCCCGAGGCAGCAGGCTGCCTATTCCTGTGAAGTCCAGCTTGCCTCCTCCCAAGCTCAGCCGTGAGCTGGCAGATGGCAGCGCTTCTGTGTGTGCTGCTTCTGCCTTCCTGAACACAGACAGAAAATCCTTTTCCAGAGCTCCTTTGAGTCTTTCCCTGGATGTGTCTGAACTGCAGGAGCTGTGGGACGACCTCTGTGAGGATTACATGCCGCTGCGGGTACAGGTAGAGGTCATTGTGCCGCCGTTCCATTGAGCAGCATCCCTGTGGCCTGACGCCGAGCCCACTAGGGATTGTTCTGTGCTGAGATAATACAGATAGCCACGTGTCATTGAACCTAGGGCTAAGAATAGGCAGCTCAGTCCTTTTTAGGTGTGCTGCCTCTCTCCTCTGTCATTCTCTTGTCGTCACCTTCCTCCTTGTGTTCTGGGGAAATTAACCTTCTCCCCCCTCCACTGGCTTTCCTGTCAGTGCAGTCTGCTAAATGGTCTAAGCTCTTTGCATGCTTTGTCATTTTTCAGCTGAGAAAGCACCGGTTTCACTTCCGCTTTCTCTTTAAGGAGTCAGTGTGACTCTTACCCACAGCCAAAGGGAGCATTTTAGGCTTCTGGGCATGTGTTTTCCAGCAAACGTGTTTTCTTTGTGCCTGGCTAATGGAACACCTGCCTCTGCAGATCAGGCCTCCAACCTGCCAAACGTGCAGATCCACGTGGGGATCTGTGGCGTGTGCCCTCAGGAAGGGGTGTCTTCCCTGCAGGTGGATTTGAGCCAGGGACTGACTTTAGGGTTGGTATTCTAGATAATTGGTTTATTTTCTGATCCTTTGAAAAGATTTATCAATTAACAGCAGGTGTTGCTGAGAGACAATGAAAGCTCATGCTTTCAAGGGACCTCCTGGTGTAGTTACCTGCCTCGATGGTTAGTCCTTGTGTAGCTCCAGACTGCCTCTGTTTTGCTGGCTTTAATGACATCTTCATTAGCATGCAGTCAAAAAGCTGAACTTGTAATTGCTTTACCACTTTCCTTGATGAATAGAAGGCCTCAGTCAGCTTCAATTCAGGAATATCCATGTCAGCCTAATTGCATTCCTATTAACAGCCTTAGTGCTGTCTAATGCTCTAGGTAGCCGGGGGAATTGCAAAAATGCTTGTTTATTACTATGGCAACTGTATCTGTGGTAAATTACACTTCCCATTCAGCCAGTGCTGCTCCCTGTCCCATCTGCTCGGGCGTTTCCTAGAGCTGTGTGCTTTTCCCATAAAAACCTGCTCAAGAGATGGTGCTAGGGAGGAATGCAGGAAGACTGATTTTCGTCTGGTGCACAAAGGCACCGCGCTGGCAGCCAGGGACTGAAGATGTGGGGCAGGGCGTTGCTGCTCCTCTAGTCTGTGGTGTTTGCTACTCATTTTCACTGCCAGGATATATTTACAGCATAAAAATAGGCTTTCTCTTAACATGGCACAATCAACGTGGCATGTTTACGGCTTGGCTTTCTGTCACACGTCGCCTTCCTCCTCTTGGAACTGCTTTAGAGGCGTTTCTTCAACCTCCAGTCTTTGCCACCCAACCGTCCCTGCCAGGAATTAATCCTGCAGGATCTTTTACTGCCTGTAAAAAAATTCTTGCTGCCGTGGCAGCTGCAGGTGCAGGCTTTGGTGCAGGGTCTGGCAGAAGGGGGAAAGCACTTAAATCCTTCAGATGGCTTTAACAGCAAAAATGGGAAGTCGATGCAGTGAGCAAACCAATTGGTTTGTGTATAAATGATTTGTCTTTGTACAAGCAACGCTCTTTCTTAAAGTCAGGTACTGCTGATTCATATGCGTAAGCATATTTTGGGTGATGTGAAAGGAACGTATAAGACCATAAGTCCCCTAGTGCTTTTGGGAAACTGCAGTTCTTTCAATTTACTGCTGTAAGCTATGAAAACCAAGAGCCCTGGTGTTGGGGCACGTGATCTTGTAGATGCTGTTATCTTGGGCGTTTTCTTGAACCAGTGATTCTTCCTCTTCATCACAGTAGCCTCAGGAGAAGCCACCAAGCCCAGCCTTCCTCAGACACGCTCTGGCAGCTGCCTGCAGTGCTGTGCTGGCAGCAAGGGACGTGTTGCCCTACTGAGAAGCTTGTCTCTTACCCACTGTTCTGGGCAGATGTGAACTTGGCAGGCTTCAATAATGCCGTGATTATTATTTTTTTAAATCTAGGTTAGTGTGTGCTGACTGAGGAGAGGTTGTCAGTCAGATGCTGATGTAGGAGAAACTGCTGGGGAGCTGCGCTCCTGACATGGCTGCCGGGAAGCACGAGGGAGGCAGCTGGGACTTTGGACTCTGGAGCTGGCTCTGCTTTTCTCCTCCCTGCTCTTAGCTCTTTGCAGGCTTTCTGCTTATTTTTCTTTGGAACGTGCAAACCGTGAAGAAAGTTGTTTGTTTGTTTGTTTTTTAATTTTCTCTGTTTTCCTTTCATCAACCTAATTTGAAAATAGCTGCTTGTGTGACAGATTCCAGCAGCTCTCCCTGCCTGATCCAAAGCCCTCTGACTGGGCAAATTTTAAATGACTTTGCTGTCACTGTTCTAACTTTTCACTAAAACCTTAACATCAGGATAAAGGGAAGCATTACTTCTGAATGTGGGAGGCAATGCCCAGGCCTGGGGGAGCTCCTCTGAGCTGCTTGACTTTCCCAGAGACAGTGTTTCTGTGGCTGCCGGAGATTGAGGATTCAGTCTGACAGGGCCAATTGGAGTCGGCTGTTGTCCTCTCTGTGCTGTGCTGCCTGGAGCTGGTGCTCCTGTGTGTGCTCTGAGAAGCACTGCCATGTTCTGATGGCCTCTGTGCTGCAGCCCTGTGCTGGGCATGGCTCCTGCTTGAAACAGGCACCAGTACAATCAATCTCCTATCACTGGTAATATTTGGGAGTACTTAATGTGTCCTGTGAGGGCTGGGGTGGGTGGCTGGTTTGAATGCTGCTCTCAAGAGTTAACCACTCGCTAGGCGGGAGGTGGTACAAGAGTACGAAGGGATGACAAGGGATTAGTGTGTGCTCAGCCAGCAGGGGCTGGCAGGCCACGTGTCAAAGCAGGCTGTCTCTGTTCTCAATAAATGGGTATGTGGCAGGAAAAAAAATCTCAGCTGTAGCACTGAATTTGCTACGACTTGTGGAGCTGCAGGGAATCGCACACCCTGCAGGTGCTAAAGCATGGGGAGCTGTGAAGAAGGGCCCGGAGAATCACAAGTGGAGGGGTTCAGAGTTGGGGGGTGGCTGCCAGCTCATGGCAGGAGGGTAGCTGGTGGGAAGGATTGAAGGTTGTGGGCTTGGTTAAGAAGGAGAAGCTTGGCAGAACATGGGAAAGAGGTTGATTTGGTGATAGCTCTGTTTTGAAGCTGCCAGCAGGGTATGTAGATTTCAGAGGCATGGCTTGGGTATGGGGAGCACATCTGCCATCAGCCTGCAGACAGTGGTTAGAGCCAGACAAGCTGCTGGGCTCACTGAGTGGGAGTGAGGAGAGTCAGGGAGCCTGACCAGAGCATCAGGGCAGCAGGGAACTTTGGGCAGGTCAGCCTGCCACCCACATGAAGGCACACACTGGCATGATGTTTCAGAAACAGAAGAGCACAGTGGGGCATGTTTAAGCACATGCTGCAGGGTCTCTGAGGACTGACAGGTGAATAGAAGAAGTCAGTGCATTACTTGAGCTGTTTCTCATTGGGGTTTTTTTGGTGTTTTGGTTTTTTTCCTCCCCCAGAATTTGCAAGATGAAGATCAACAGCCTGCTCCAGGTGACCCTGCAGCGCGGGAGCACGTGTCTGATCTGTGCGCTGCAGAGCTGCAGGGCAAACTCCAGCAATTTGAAGCTGCCAACAAGGTATTTCTCCATGAACAGCAAATTCAGTGCCTAGTGAGTCTGATGTAATTAGTGTTGGAGGGTGCCTCCCAACCTGGCCAGAGGCAGGCATCTGCACCCCTCTTCCAGCAATGGTGTGTGCTGACACATGATTCTCAGTGCTGCTGAGTTAAAAGAATTTGAATGTTTTTCCTGCAGCAGTGCTGTGTGCATTTTCCATATTTATTTTTCCAAACCATTGTTTTGGAAGAATTTCCTGCTTACCTGGTGAGCCTTCCAGGAGCTGGTGAAGGAGAGATGCACAGGACTATTTCCATGTCTCTTGGATTTGCATGGGCTGAGCCTGATGCAGGAGGGAAGGGCACCTGCCTTTTGGGACAGCTGCTTTCTTTTTTGCAAGCAGTAAGGGAGATAAGTGCAAAGTGGGCCTTGTTGTTTTTTTTTTTTATTTAAAGCCTTTCTTAGGAAAGAAACATGAAGCTGGGTTGCCTCGAGGCAGATCAAATTGAACACATTTTGTGAGGGGTGGATGTTCTTAGTCATGCTCTTGAACTCTCAGGTAAATTATACCTACATGGAAAACAGAGAGATTAAATGAGAAAAAGTGTTAGGATGGATTCTTTAGTTAAATCTGGGGACAGGTGGAAGCTCTTGGAGCTGCCTGGACCACAAAGGTTGAAAGGGGAAAGGAGGCCCAAGGCCTAGAAAATACAGTTGAAAATGTTTAAACGGTTTATGGGGAGTGTCTCTTAGAGAAGAGATAACATGACAGGTGTGTAAACTAATGAGGAACAAGAGGAAATCATGTGGCAGCACCAACTCCTTAAGAAACTGAGGCTTGAGTAAATTCTGACAAAGGTGTGTCATCCAAAACTGAGAATGCAAACAGGCAACATGTGTAGAAATGCTAACAAGCAGTTGCTTAAATGTACATGGTGTCCTGCATAAGTAACAGTATGGTGAAAGCAAAGAATTGTCCTGAAATTGTTTGAGATGGCAGTCTCTTTTGGGTGAAAATGTCAAAGGCAAAAGTTTCTCAGGTTGTAAACCAGGCACAGAGACTAGTATGATATTTCCCCTTTGCTTTGTGGCTGTGGTGTTGGCATGTTGGCACTGACTAGACTCTGTTGAACTGAAGCCAGAACTCGAGGCTAAATAAACCACTGATCTGATCAAATGTGTAATTACCTAGACCAGCAGTTGCTGCAAGAGTGCCTGGAGGGTCAGAGAGGCAGAGAAAGAAAGGGCTGAAAGATTTTAAAGGGGCAGCTGCAACACTCTGTAGGACCTGAGAAGCAAAGAGAATGGCTTTTGGAATGTGTAGCTTCTCTGTGTTGTTTTGGGTTTTTTTGTTCAGATATCCTGAGAGTTTTTTGGGCCCCTTTCCTCTTAAGGGAACAGAAACAAATTATAGAAACCGGGAAGGCAGTGGGGCAGCCTGAGCAAGACTCTCCTGCAGTGTGTAGGAGGCAGGATGATATGTGAAGCCAAGCCTGGAACCTCCACCCTGCACATGGGAGCTGCTCTGGATGGACCTGAAGCACTGAACAGTCCTGTGGAGGGGCTGAAGGCCTTGTGGTTGTCTCCACCCAGCTCAAGCAGTGTTTTCAAGCTCTAGAGGGGGCCATGTTGATCTTGATTTGGTGAACACCTGGGCTGTACAGACTTGATTAAGGGGTGGAGGCAGTCCTAAAGATGTTTATGTAGAGCATTAGGCAGGATTAAATAAGCAATGTATTTCTGTCTGCAGTTGTTACAGGAGAAGCTGAATGAATTGAATTTTGAATTAAAATCTGTCCAAGAAACATCACAGAGGCAAGATCATACAATCCAGAGTCTGAACGAGGCCCTGAAGAGCAAAGAGAGTAAGGTAATAGATTTGGGTGGGCAGGTGGTGCTCCCTGGAAGAGGAAGGTGTGTTAGCACTGTAGGCTGTGGCTGAAAAGGAATGCTTCAGTCACTGCTAGGCATCCTGGATCTCATTCCATTATTTCTTGCTCTTTCATGGGATGGTGACATGGGTCATAATCCCATCCAGGCTTGGGACGGGAGGGTCTGTGCTGGGTTTGCCACTGACTGGGCTTCCTGTCCTTGGCTTGGCAGACAGAAGAGCTGTATCGGATCATCGAAGGGCAGAATGAGACAATGGCCAAGCTGCGGGACATGTTACAGAAAAGCCACCTGGGACAGTTGCAGGTGTGTCCCTGGAAAGCCTCAAATATATTGGGTGTCCTCCTGCAGGGATCCTGATTTTTAAATTCCCTCTCAGGAAGGGCATCTTTAAGTTTCTCTGCTTCTCATTCTTGTCAGGTGTCAGAGAACACACTCCCATCCCAGGAGCAGCAAATGTCACTCCTAGATCTTCAGAACACGCTTTTCTGCACCAAGCTGGAGGTGCAGAAACTGAGAAGAGCTCAGCGCCAGAAAGACCATCAACTGGCTGAAGCCAGGAGAGCAACTGAGCACCTTGAAACCATGGTGCATGAGGAACAGCAGCAGAAAGAGGCAACCTGGAAACACAACCAGGTATGAGGAATATTTAGCCTGGAAGTCTCAGGGGTTACGTGACTTGAAGCACTGGTGTAGTCAGTACTCTGCTCTCAGTCACCATTTCTGCCTGCACCAATCTGGACACACTTGCCTAGTGCGTTGTCATTTATGGCCTGGACAATTCTTCATCCTCCTTAGTTTTGTGTCTGAGGATTTAGAATCTGCAGACTCTTGACAATGGGTATGTTGTCACTTGTATGCCTTTGGCTGGTGTAAATGTCCCATCTCTCTTAGTGATGTTACAAAGTTAACATCTGCTGCTGCACAGGTATAGCTATGATGGATTGTAACACTGCCTGTGGCCAGAACAAGGGGTTTACATGAGTGGATACCCTGGGAAGTGAAATAAATTCCAGCTTCATCACCGTGGAAGTGTATTTTGAGTTGTAAAAGCAGTTGTAGTAGTAAAAAAAAAAAAAAAGTCATAGTATTGTAGAGCATTTTTGGCTGCTCCAACAGCCCTTGGCTTCTTCAGATTGGCCTGTTGTTTACAGGTCTGTTGAGACTGACTGCCAAGGCATCTGCTTTTCCCTTGCAGGAGCTGCATGCTGTGGTACAGCAGCTGCAGGCAGAGCTGCAGGACAAGGCTCAGAAGCTCCAGACTGTGGAGTGGGAGAAATGCCGTGAGCTGCAGGCCCAGGAGCAGAGAGTGCAGCGTTTGACTCAGCTTCTGGCTCGCAAGGAACAGCTGCTGCAGGTGAGATGCAGAAAGATTCAAGCTGAGCTTAACTAGACAGGTCCCTGCTCCTCCTTTGGTATTTGGCAATGCAAAAGTCAGTCTAGCTCTCACATCCTTTGAGGAAGGGAAGGGATGCTTCTGGGCTCCCAAGATGAGGAAGAAGGTGTCTGAGTACCTCAGCCCCCAGCAATTCCTGGTGAGCCCTGGTGGGCACTGATTAAGCAACTCCAGGTGCTGGGACTCACCTACCCTTTAATGCAGGGAGCCCACCAGGTGTAGGGTGGAGGTAATTAGCCCTGATTCTTTTGTGGTGCTCTCTGGGGCATTTCTGGACAAACAGTTTTACTGTGGGTGTCTGCATGTGACCTCTAGGAATCGAGGGAACTTCTGCAATGCCAGCAAAACTTGGACAAGAGTCCTGCAGCCATGAATGCCATGTTGGAGAAGCTTCAGCAGCGAGTTAGCGACAGGGATGCAGCTTTGGAGGTGAGCACAGTCTGTTGGTGATGTCTCCCTCTTTCTCCTGTGGGTCAGCCTTTGGGCTACCAGCAGCAGTGGATCCTGAGGCTGAACCCAAGGGGTGACTGTGTCCTCTATGTGCCCTTCACTGCTCAGCCTTCCAGAGGAGTCTTCTCTGAAAGGGAGAGCTGAGGTGTCCCACAAAGCAAGTGGTGAGCTGCAGAGCCCTACTACCCCATTCTGAACAAACACCCTCTCTCACCTTAGCGAGCAGTAGATGAGAAGTTCTGTGCCCTGGAGAAGAAGGAGCAAGAGCTGCAGCAGCTCCATCTCTCAATAAGGGAGCATGGAGGTGACCTGGAGAGGTTGCGCAATGTCCTGTCCAGCAATGAGGCCACCATTCATGTGAGTGCTTGCACCTGGACATACAGAGTCCAGCCTGGCTGTGGTGTGGTGCCAGACAAGACTTTCCTGTGAATGCTCTGGTTGTTGTTGGGGAGAGTGTCTGCAGGGTGTTGGCCTTTCCCTGGCCCTGTGTGTGAGGCACATTCCTGGTTCACTTGTGTTTCTGGGCTGGGTAAAGAGGAAAGTGTGGTGCCTGGAGGGGATGGCGGGTTGAATCTGTGTGACTCCGCTGGCAGGAGAGACTAGTATTTCCAGCTCTGCTTAATTCAGGATAATCCCTGTCCCTGGTTGAGCTGCTTCTTTTGTGGTCCTCAGAGCCTGGAGAGCCTCCTGAAAGCCAAAACGCTGGAACTAGAGCAGGTCTCAGCAACCTGCCAAAACCTCCGCTGGCTGAAGGAGGAGATTGAGGCCAAATCCTGCAGCAGGCAGAAGGAGCAGGAGGGGATCATCCAGCAGCTGCAGACCTGCCTGCATGATAGGAACAAGGAAGTGGAGGTGAGGCCTCAGCTTGGCTTCCTGAGCCTTCAGCCAGTTGGTTTGCAGAGAGTGGTTCTAAACTAGAACCTCCTGACGAAGTGCCTGCTGCTGTGTAAGCTGGCTGCTTTTGGCAGCTGTAAATACCTGTGTTTGCTGAGATGCTGCTCTCAGCTACATGCAGGCTGAAGAACTGTTGGTCCTTGACCAGCTTGCAGCTTGATGGTAGCAATGTCACTCCGTCTCTACCTTCCTCCCACTTGCTCAGGAGCTTACAGCAACTCTGCTGTGCAAGCTGGGCCCAGGACAGAGCGAGGTAGCAGAGGAGCTGTGCTTGCGTCTCCAGCACAAGGAGAAGATGCTGCAGGATCTCCTCAGTGACAGGAACTGTCAGACCATGGAGCATGATGCCGAAATCCGGGCGCTGCTGCAGGCTGTGAGCACCAAGGAGCAGCAGAGCCGAGTGAGTTGCGTGCAGTGCCGCAGTCGGGACACCTGGGTGGGTGGCTCTGCTTCACAGTTAGCAAATACCAGCTGCTCTCTGGCTGCTGTTGATGTAGTCTGGTGGAGCTGCTGAGTGTTGCAGAACAACATGAGATGCCACCAGCTGTTCCTAGGTTGGTCTCAAGCCATTGCACGGGAGCAGCAATGAAGCAGCAGTTCTTGTAGCAGTGTTCAGGTGTTAGGTCCCTGTCATTAAATGGACTGGGCAGAGTTTGTGCGTGTGGTGGGGAAGGAGGTGCAAATCCTCCTAAAATACGTGCTCCTAGGCTTGGGGCAGCAAAAAGGGTCTGTGGGAGGGTTGCTGCTTCGTGTGTGTGTTACTAGATCAGAAAGGAAGGCTCTGAGCTGTTCCTACTATAGTTCAGAACTCTGAGGAAGCTCTGCTAATTGCCTCTGAACTTACACATTAGTCAGACTAGTGCATGAGCCTCAGAAGGTAACTGCCACTTAAAGAGCCACAGCTCCTACTGTGCCTGCTCTTGCACACTGGGTGTGGCTCTGTTACCAAAGATACTTCACTTCGGGTTTCAGAAAAAGGGGGCTAAAATTTCAAGCACCGTTTGCTCCTCTTTGTCTGTCCTCTGTCTTTCTCCAATCCTGAAGGAAATGAGAGAAACTGAGGATCTTGTTCCTCGCTAGGCTGAGAGGCTGAGCATTACTTGGCAGGTAGAGATGGGAGGACTGCAGCAGAGCCACTCTTGAGTGGCCAGGAGCAGTATCTCCCAGGCTTGTTTGCAGAGCAGATAAACATTGTTTCCCTTAGTCCCTAAGGAAGGTGAGAGACAGGGATCCCACCCCTGATGACAAACCTGCCTTCTCTTGCTCTTCCTGCTCCATCAGGTGGCTGTGGAGAAGATGTCACGTGCTCTGGCCGAAAGGAGCTGCGAGTTACAGCTCCTGCGCCAGCATCTGTTGGGGAAGGAGCCTGTTGGGACCCAGTCAGCTGGTGCCAGGCTTTTGAAGCAGGACAAACAGCCCATACAAGTAAGAATTGTGCACTGTTTCTCTGCCCGTGGCTTTGGGGCTCCATGGAGAAGGGATTGGCACAGGAGGAAACGGGAGAGAGCACAACAGAGAATGATAGAAATGAAAGTAGGATTACGGGAGAGGCTTTCTGTAGGAGGAAGAGAAGAAACTGAGGAGCAGAAATGCTCCCTGGGTGTTCTGATGTTGATTCCACCAGCCTTTGTCACTCAGTGTCTCCTTTTGTTTTGATCAGGCAGTATTTGAGTCTGTAGGGCATGTGAGAGTATGAAAGAAATCCACCCTCTGACCCTCCAGCATTGACCCAGGCCTTCCTTGGGCTGGGCTGCCTCACTGTATTGTAATCCCCTCCCTGACATTGTCACATTCTGGAGGGGACAAGAGAGCTAATTTTAGGTCCCACTAATTCTTGGCAGAGCCTGCTGGCTGTTTGCTGTCTCTTCCACAATTTGAGTTGGTATTTTTAAAGCAGCTTTGCTAAAACCCCCTCTGAGGCTGTATACAACTCCAAGGCCACATATGCCATGCTCCTGCCTGAGCAGCTGTTAATGGCATATTGGTGAGCTGACATGTTGAATGCTTTTAAGCAGCTGTAAACAGGTTGCTATTTCTATTCCCAGGATCAAAGTGAGCTCTAGAGACTTCCAGGGACATGTATATGTGCCAAGCTCTGTGTTGTCCTTCCTGTGTGATCCTTCTAGGCCACATCTTTGGATGAAGATGTAGGTCTCTGTAGAGTCTCAGTGGGAAGATGGGTTTGCTGCAATTGAGTGAAACCTCTGTAATCCTTACTATGAAGATGCTCACTGCCAGCAACCTCCTAGTGCCAAATAAAACAAGGCCAGAGCTTCTAGGTTGGGTGAAATTCACTTTTTCCTGCTGCTTGTCTAGGTCCCCTTCATTGGTTTCTCACATTTCAGAGGCATCAGCAAAGCAGCCAGTAGCTTTGCTGCAGTCCTGGAGCTCTGAGGAAGCTGTGAGTGCTCTGTTCACCATAAAGATGAAAACTTGGAGACTTTTGTGTTTTTAGGAAATACTGCAAAGAGCTTGTGGAGATACAGCCATTGCCAGACCCCAGCAAGCAGACAGCAGCTGCAGGACAGGGGGAGGTGAGTATGGTCAGAGCTTCTTTCAAGGTCTCCAAACATGACAAAGACATTTTGCTGTGGGGGAAGTGTGGTTGCACAAAACTGAGAGAACAGAGAGCTTTGACCAAGAATGAGTACTTTGAACTGGAAGTTGTGCCTTCCCTTTGGGTGGTGGTTCAGGGATGTCTGGGAATGGGAGCATAGGAAAGAGAGAGGCTGGTGTCAGATTTGAGGTAAGGTGCTTCTACTCAAGAGCTGATGCTGTCCAATGAAGGGTTTTTGACTTTATGGTTCAGGTTGGGCTGAGACAAGTGCAACTGGTTTGGGTTTGGCCTGGGGCCAGGACACCTGAACTTTGCCAGAGGTGGGACAGCAGGCCTGGGATGTTTTGTTGCCTTGGGCTGCTATTTAGGGATCAAGCAGGGAAGTAGAGTGTTTCCTGAGAGGCAGTGTGGTGGGAAGCATGAGTATCATAGACCTGTCTTGCCAATGGGGAATTCTGTCTGATCCTGGAGTTGGAGCTGACACATAGTAACTCTGCAGTAACCGAGTTGTCTTTACAGTTACAACGTCAGCAGCAGAGCTGGAGAAGGATCTTCTTAATGCCAAAGAGGAGCTGGAGCTAATGGCAAAGAAAGAGAGGGAAAGCAGGGTGAGCTTGTAGTGCTGTGCTGATCTCTCTTGCTTACAGGAAACCACTGGGCTGCCCCTTGCTGGAGGTTTTGGACCCCCTGCAGTGAGGGGACCCCCAGTGAGAGAAATGGGATGGCAGCTTGCAGTGGGGTCTTGCTTTCTGAAGACTTCCACGGACTTCTCTTCCCTCCTTAGCGGGAGCTTGCTGCTCTCCAGTCTGTGGTGGCCACGCAGGAGGAAGAGCTGCAGGTGCAGGCCTCAGATATAGAGTCCTTGACCAGGACCATCCAGATGAAAGAGGACCTCATCAAGGTGAGATAATGCACTATGGTGGGTCAGTTCCACCTGGGAAGCTGCAGAGCAGTCTATTCTTTCTCTGCTGTGTGCATTATGTCCCTTTTCATTTCTTGCTCCAGGCTGTTGTCTGTGCCTAATACATTCTGGGTGCTTCAGGTTTCTTTCTTAGGAGACCTGGGTCTTCCCAAACACTGGAAACTTTTGGCACTTACATTCCAGGGAGGATTACAAAGGTTCAGCTGTTCTTGTTACTGATCCCTTCTTCACTGAGCCCTCCTGCTGTTGGTTTTCAGGATCTGCAGATGCAGCTGGTGGATCCTGAAGAAATTCCAGCCATGGAAAGGCTGACAGAAGAAGTGCTGGTGCTTCGGGAGAAAGTGGCCATAGCAGAGTCACGAGGACAGGAGGCTACTGGAAGCAGAAAGCAGCAGGTAGTGTGCCCTGAGGGGCAAGCTCAGATGTATTTATATTTCTGTTGGTGCTCAGTTACGAGACTTTCTTTTCAGCCTTTGGATACGCTTAGATGTCCTTGTTCTTGAAAGCTGGCTGTGTGCAGTAGGGGGAAAACAAAGCAGAAGACTGGTTTCCTTCAGCACTTGTCTCAAAGGCAAAGTCTTTTGGGAATCTGGCGCTGACACTGATCAACTTGATCACTTGGGTGCAAGCAAGAGAGGAAGGGGAGCCCCTCTTTCTCTGGGGCAGCTAGATGCCTCCTTCCATTTCTCTCTCTTATGTGTTGCATCATGTCTTTTGTCTCCAACCAGTTGTTACTGGTGCTGGAAGGGCTGGTGGCTGAAAGGAATCGGCTGAATGAGGCTCTCCAGGCAGAGAGGCAGCTCTACGGCAGCCTGGTGAAGTTTCACACACACCCAGACAGGTGAGCAGCGCTGCCTTGGCTCCGTGCTGGGGCAAGTCTGGATGGTCCAGTGGGGCAATCCCTGGAGCAGTGATCATCCTGCAAATCTGAGAGCCCTCAGTGGGAAAGAGGGAGTTTAGGCAAAGAATCAGACAAATGTGGGCTCAGGAGTCTGAGTTTTAGGCTGCCTTCCTCGCTTGGAGAGGCTGCAGTGGCCAACTTTAAATGCTGCGTAAACTCCCCCCCCCGCCATCTCCTGTTCAGGCCCTGGGATTTCCATCTCTGTTCTCTGACTTGCCACTTCCCAGCTCAGCTTCTCACCCTCACTTGGCCACCTTTCAGAGGCTGCTGTCCAATTCCCAACCAGCTGTTGGGTTGATAAGGACCTATCTAGGTGCTTATCCAGGCGGTTGTCCCATGGTACAGCCTGGCCTGCCCTGCTGTCCCCTGTGTCCCCTACACTAATCCCCTGCCCTTCATGGGGCTGCAGCCTTTGGGATATATGAGCTACCTGATAGCAAGAGAGCACATAAGTGGAGTGCTTGGAGTAAGTACTGAAGAACAGCTGTGGCTAGGAGTCCCCTGCTGTGAGCTGGAGCCTTTTTAGGGGATGGCTGAGCTCTGGGGGGGTTTAGAGGTGAGGCAAGAGGTGGCCAAGCTGCCTGGGGAGCAGGCAGGGCCTGTGCCTGGCAGAAATGACATTCCAGGATGGAGGGGCCAAGGTGGTGCAGCCTGTCTAACCCTCTTCCCTCTTATGCGGCGCGTCCCCTTAGCTCTGCGAGAGACCACACCCTGCAGGTGGAGCTGGAGGGGGTCCAGGAGCTGCGGGGACAGCTGGAAGAAGCTCTTGGAAGAAGCTTGGAGCGTTTGAGCAGGCTGGAGACGCAGGGCGACATAGGAGGTGGGGAACAGGAGCGTGTGAGAGTCCTACCCCAGCATGCCCTCTGAGCGCTGCTGCTCGCCCGCCCGCCACGGAAACGGTGCACTAACCCAGCCAGCCTGTCTCACTGACTCTGGGAGGGTTGCTTGGGTTCTTGGTCACGGTACAGTAGAGCTGGTGCAGGCCCTTCTTGATTTTATTTTTTAGCTGCTTTGGAAACGGCGATCAGTGCAATCCACCTGTGTCTCGTGTGTGTTCCTGTCTGACCCACCCTGGTGGCCACTGATGTATTTGCACATCCAAATCATTCCGTTTTAGTTGATTTCCCTCATCTCCCTTCTCCTCCCACCCCCATGGGCCAAATAAAGATTCCCTTTTCTCTGAAGGAAACACCAAATGTTCTCTATCATCTCCCAAGTGCATGAGTGTGAGTTTTTGTATTCCCTTACCATTTTTCTTACCCAGTGACATCGCCCTCTTGGGTTGATGGTGGCTGGCCCAAAAGGAGAAGGAGTTTATGGAAAAGTGGGTTCTAGAGACAGAGAATTTGAGAAGGGCCACAAGACCTCGTGGCACTTTGTGAGGCTGTAACAGGAGTCTTGAGTGTAGAACCAACAGTTCATTTTATGTTTAAACCAGATTCTACTCCAGTATTGATGATTAATGACCTTTTTTTATTATTTTTTTTTCCCCTTAATTCTAAGTTGTCTCAGCCTGGCTGTGAGTGCCTTCAAGGGAGAGCTTCCTTCTCTTTCTGACAGATGGTTTGGAGTGACTGAGACCTGTCTCTGCTCCCAGGGTCTGGGCTGGGTCTGCTCCCTCCCTTGTATGCACACATCTCACTCAGGCTTCACATGCCCCTTGGACAGTGGGCAGGCCCCTATTTCTGCTCTGCTGGGGACATGCTCACGTGTCACCACTGCATACCTTTTCTAGGGCATCTTTCACCTCCTCTGGGAGTTTTTGGGTTGGTGTGAGAGCTGAAAAACAATAGCATCAGCTTTCTGAATGCCCAGCATTTCCCATGCACAGTGGGCTATGGATCAGCTGTCTCGTGCTCAATCACTTCCCAAGGTCTCAAGAGCAAATTTTGTACCTCTGGGCATCTGTTTCTGCTTGCTGGGGGAGCTCAGCTAGAAGTGGGTGGAACAGAAGAGCTCCATCTTGCTGGGCTGTGCCACCTGGACCTGTGGCTGCTCTACTGCACATTTCATGACTGTTTCACATGGCACTGACCATCCCACGCCTTTCACCCATGCTGAGGTCTTCTCCTCTCTGCCTCAGACAGGGAAAGGAGGCAGCACAGCTCTCCCTTCAGATGCAGCAAGTCAGCACTACTCTGGTAGCACCGAGCTGTGTGGTGAGTTCAGCACTTCTTGTGTGGCCTGAAGGGACACAGCTGGTGGCTGCTGGGCAGTTCTGGTACTTGGTTAGCTTTTCCTTTCTGGTGTTTCATCTCATTCCCTTCCTCTTACTTCTCTGTGTAGCACCATCTTATCTTTTTCCTTCTGCTTCTCACTTTGTAGGAGCCTTTGTGTCACTGTTGTTATCTTTCCACCTTCCTTCCTCCATCCTGGCTTTGATGCCCAGCTGGCTCCCTGGTCCCTTGGGAACCATGGAGCCCAGGACCCAGTACAGACTCACTGGCCTGACACGAGGGCAGTCTTGGCTGGTGTTTGGTGGCTCTGATCTTTTCTTGTGTGTGTTTTGCTACAGATCTGTCCTTGCCTGTACTAGCATCACTGCTGTAAAGTGTCCTGTAGAAGCGTTATCCTAGGCTGCTGTGACCCAACTTCTCCACTCCATTCTTTAGGGCCTCCTTTCATCCTTGATATCCCTGGCTGTGCACTCCTCTGCCTTCTGGGGAGGACCAGCCTAAGCATTCCATGCCCAAGAGCACTGTCTGTCAAACTGCAGTGCTTTGTGCTGTCTTGTAGCTCTTCATGGCGGTCTCTTCTTCCTCTCTCAATTTCCCTGGCAATCTTGCTTTCCTTCCTTTGTTCCCAGCAGTGTGAAGACTTCCAATGCAGCCAGTGCACCTGGGTGTCCTGTGCCTGTGGGCCATGTGCAGTTTTCAACCCCTGTAACTAACTGGTTTTGCCTTCAGGCAAGGTGTGAAAAATAGTGTTGACTAATCTCTAGTCTCCTTTGCTGGTAATAGCCAGAGAGCTGAGCAGTTCCTCTCCCTTTGAATTTGCACCCTGATGTGCCCCTGCTGCCATGGAGGGTTCAAGCACTTCGTGAAAAGCAGCCTGGGCACAGTCTGCCCTACATGCATGCTTCTCTGCTCCCCCAGCACCACCCTCCTCCTCTTCCCTTGTGTTTGGTTTCATTTTCCCTCAAGATTTGTGGTCCCTTTTTCTGCCACAGTCCTGGACTGCTGGGAGCTGTGGGTGATGGTGAGAAGTGGGGTGCTGTGTCCTGGCATAAGAGGTGGTTCTCCCATGACCCCAGATCAGCCACCCTGCCCTTGCCTCTCAGTCATGGTCACCCAGCTTGGGAGCCATCTGCATGTGGCTCAGCCCCCCAGCAAAGCCTGCAGCTGAGGATCTGCATCCCCTCACCCTTGAGACACTGAGCTGCAGCCCTAGGTGGCTTGTCACCTGGGAGGTTGTCCCTAAGGGCTCAGAGGGCTGTGCTTTGACTATGCTGAATGCCACCCGCTGGAGCTGCTCCACTGGGGTGCTGCTGCCACTTCCAGCTGTCTCTAGGCACTTTGCTCCTGGAACTGCTTCTCTGTGGTAGCTGTCCTTGTTCCCTGGAGCATGTCTGCTTCAGTGAACAGGCTCCACCACACAGGATGGTGTCTGTTGGCAGTGAGATGTCTCTGTTTTTAGCAACCTCCCAGCAGTTGCTTGTCACAAGTGGGTTTCCCAAGTGTGCCACCATCTCTATGTACAGTGTGCTGTGCAACTGCCTGCCCTGCTGCAAGGTGTGATCCTGGCTTCCCTGCTGTCTTCTCCTTCACCAGAGATGTTTTTCCTCTCTGCTGCCAGGATTTCTCTGTGTGCCCTTGCTTCGTGTTCAGCCTTGCCTGGGAGCGCCACACCTGATGGGTAGATGCAGCTGCATCTCCTGTAGGGCACAAGCAGCTGTGAAACCTGGCCCTGCACAATCCCAGGGGAAGATCTTGGGATGGGGATGCATACTTATTTCCCAGGCAGTCTGAGCCTAAGCAGAGCAGGCAGGACTCTGCCACTGGGTGGCAGGAAGGCTGCCCAGGCAGGGGGTGCAAGCCCTCGCTCTGGGCTCTGCACTGAGTGGGGTCAGAGCAGAGCTGTGTGCAAGCAGAATAATGTGCCCTCAGCTCTGTGGGTCAGGGTGGGTCTGAACCCCTCGTGCACTGTGGTATGGGACACAAATGTCCCTTTAGCTCTGCTGCCGCTCTGCAAGGTCAGTGCAGGGTGTGGGCAGGGTGGCTGTTAGTGACTTCCTGGAACTGCCCCTGCCCAGGCAGGCAATTGTGTTGGGTGTACCCCCATGATCCTGCCATGCCTGTGCAGTGCCAGTGAGGGTCCCTGCCCCAGCATGGGCTGCTGTGGCTTGTGAAGGGGCTGCAGGGTGAGTGTCACCTGTGCACGTGCGTTGGGGCAGCAAGCACAAGTGGTGTGAGGGTAGACATGGATGGGGCAGGTTGCCTTTCTAGGGTGCTGTCCCTGGGCCTGTGGTGGCTGGGGCTGTTCCCTCCCTGGGTGCAGGGCTAGCACAGGGTGCTGGGTTGGAGATGCAGAGCGAGTGGCAGGACTCGGGGACAGTGGGGACACCTCAGTCCTGCTGGGAGTGCCCCAGGGATGCATGAAAGCGAGTACGGACATCACCGGGGAGGAGAGAACCAACGCAAGTGCTACAATTGCCACTGCTTTGAGCACTTTGTGCTGTGCTGTCCCCTAGGTCAGGCCACAGGCGCGGATGCTGATGCCAGCACCAACTTCACCAGCAGCATCAAGAAGGAGGCAGCTCACGGCGTGGCAACCCAGCTCGTGAGTCGAGGCAGCACAGCCCCGGGAGCAGCGGTGGCAGAGCTGGGCACTGCGGCACTGCCTGACCGCCTA